ATCACAATAACAGAGATATCATTTTTTGTCAGCGAGTTTTTCGTTCGATTTCTACTCAATTCAGGATTGAGTAGAAAATCCAATAGGTGAAAGAAACCGAGGTAAATTCCAGTTTTTAGTCTTACATTTTATTCAATAAAATAAACTGGCAAAAACTATAAAAATAACTAATATGTTTATACAACTTTATTTATATATTTATAAAACTTGGTGCAAAAAAGTATTTTTACTTTAATTAATAAATCATGCTAATTCCTATGGTTTAAAAAAACAAAATATATAATAAAATAAAAAGTCTTTTTTAATTGAAATTAATATATAAAATACATTTTTAAAACAAAAACTTTAAAGGCATGCTATTAAGTTTTTAATGAGAAAACGTAATAGTAAATAATAAGAAAAACATAATAGAATTAAAAATTTTTATCAGATCTGTTTTGTGTGTTTACCATTCAACATCTCACAAAAAACTAATTTATTTGCTATATCGATTCCTAATTTATTACGCGTCAATTGACGCAGAACAGTCAATCTTGCCGAACAGTTATATAAGTACATGACGAAATTAATAAAATCTGTAGGAAGATGATTATTTTTACTTAATGTTTTTCACCACGATCTTACATTTATATCTGATTTTGTCAAAAAAGAATAATTTTGGATCGGATTCAGCTTCTGCTTGAAATGATATAATTAACACATATGTTTTATAAGTTTTAATAGAAAAGACCAGTTTTTGCGGATTTTTTCTGGAAAATACCGGTTTTTACCACTGGCATGGACAAAAAATGTGGAATTTTGCCAAATCTGGCTCAATTAACCAAACTGAAATTTTTTTTCCGTGTATTAATATTAACTAATTCCACTACACTGTCTCAACTAATTAACGACATGCTTATTTTTATTGTATTTTTTTGTGTTGCGAGGAATACCGTCAAACTTTCGGAATGGATATATCCAGTCCAGCAAATGAGAAGATTCAGTTTTGATTTCAAACCGAGGCAGTATTTCATACAACATTCAAAGAATATTAAAGAGAATCAAAACTAAATGCGTAATTAATTAGTTGGAATTAATTAGTATTAATAATGATAATTAAGATACAGATTCGATTTGACATAGAGAGTAAATTCGCCGCGTACTCTCCAAAATGTATTATTAATTTAAATATCATACTTATAACTGTTGGTTTAAACGAAAAAAAACTATAGTTGGACTAATTTCTAATAAAATATGAGCGACTTAAAAATTCATTAAAGTTACAGAATTCTGTTCAAGTTAATTGTTATCTTGATTATTTAGGCGAAATTCTCTGATAACTGCAACCGGAATTTTTTACTTGTTTATATTTCACTAAAAATTGATTAATCCCACAAAATTTGTTCCGAGCAGTTATAAATATAGAACTGCAATCAAATGAAATATATATCTCACTAAAAAGACCAATTAAGAGGATGCTGAAGCTGAAAACTTTACCAACAGAATACTGACATTTTTCTGCAAAATTTACGTCGTATTGGTTATATAAAAATTACAAATGCTTTCACGTAATTTTATACAATCAAAGTACGTATAAAAATAAATAAAAGCATTGCTCAATATGTGATGAAAATAAAAAAAAAATTTTAAATGTAAAATCTCAAGCGCTGTCACGTAATATTTGCCTAATCTAAAAATTCCGCAGCTGTATATACCGAAAGTGTGGATACTCCAAACAGAAAATTTTTGAAGAACATTGCTGTATCTTCGCATATGAATTCAGAAGCTTAAGAATATTGGAAAAATTTGCAGAAAAATTTCTACACATGCGTGATTACGTTTTTTGTCGAATATAATAAAACAAAGCAACACATATTTACGTAAGTTCTATATATATAAAACTTAGAAAGAAATATGAAAAGGATAGTGTGATTATGTTAGCGAAGATCTCTACGTTATCATTTTCGAAATTTATCCACTTAATAGTATCAATTATTCTCATTATTGTTGAACTTCGCAAACACAGACAGTATTATTACATGAAAGATGTATGAAAACCGTTAAATATTATTATTCTATATTTCTTCTATATTTCCTTTTACATTTTAAATATTCAAATCCACAATATCAATCAGTTCTCTCATTAACTTTCTCTCTCTTTCAATCAATTATATACCCAAAAGACTTGTTTATATAATGCGATAAAAGAAATTTTTTTCTTTGATATAACATTAATACTTTATTGAGTTGCACTGAAAAAGTTGCGAATATGAAATTCGTAGATACCTTTTGCCGAGAGCGTAATTGGTACTCAGTGTTTCGCAAAGTTACGCGCGTGACGAATTCACATCCAAGCGCGGCAACACGATTTTTGATCCAATGACATGACAAGAAGCGTTTCCAAGAACGCGAGGAAACTCTATAATAGCGAAAGCGAACGCCAGCGTGGAAAATGTCGTCGATAAGAACGACGATCGACAAAAAAGGACTTTCGCAACGGAGAAGCGTGTCGCGAAAAAGCGCGTTCGGTTTCTATAGACTGCGTGTCACTGATTTATCGCACGTGCATCTCGTAAAGTCTCGTCAGAATGACCACCCGATTTTCTCTCATTGGCTACGAAATAACCATGGAAACGCGACAATCATATGCGAACACTCGTCATAAAAGTAGATATATGTTTATGGCTTACGCTCTTTATCCTTGCGGGATAAAGAGTTCCTTAATCATGTACGAGTAATGGATGCCGTTTTTAATCTTGAACAGAAAGCTTTTGACAATTTGCAGGTAATGCATTCTACACGCGATGTGTATTATCTTGATGTCATTACTGATGTAATTAGCGAATTACAAGGTTTTCCGCGCATTTTACTACGCGGACAATTACGTCTCACTCGAAAAAATAAAATTTGAAATATTATATCATTTTGAAGTCAATGATGTTTAATTAATTAATCCCTCAAACGCACACTTCTCTTTAATTAATTAATCCCTCAAACGCAAACTTCCATAAAACACACAATGGTTTAAGTTGACTTAATGTAACGATTTTAACCGCATATTTTGAAAATTATGCAGTTTTACGAAAAAAACATAAAGACATTTTTTGTAGTTAAAGAGTGATATTTTCATGAAATATTGTCAGTTTTGAGGAAAACATAATTCAATAGATGAAAATTGATTGAAATTGATCATTGTTGAAAAAGTAAACTTTTTTGCCTAAAAATTGTTGCTCTTTGGCATTAAAGAAAATCTCTTTAGAATTTTGTAATCAAGATCACAAACTTTAAAATTGCTATGTCTTAGATTTTTTATTTTTTTCAAAAACTATTTATTCTGAGGTATGAAGTTAGGCATTTTTTCCGAATAAAGTTTATTTCTACGCACACATAATTAACTTTATTTTGTGAAATAAACTTTATTCTGTAAGATAAACTTTATTGCCACAAATTCACATAATAAAATTTATTTTTCATAAATAAATAAATTTTTAATTTATCCCAATTTCAATTTTTTTTTAGTGTATATTCCTTAGTATGATATTTATCTCTATAATCACATGATTCAATTGAGAACTCTCACCAAACTTTGAATTCAAATGTCTCATTTAAGCTGAGTTTTATGTAACACACTCCTATATCTCGTGGACAATTTTACGCGAAAATAAATCACGAGAGCGAGAAAGAGAGTCAGTCTTATTGATTGAGATATATTTGACAGGACGCGAATCGCTTAAGAACAATTTAGCATCAAATTACTGTTCGCTTTACAAACGCATGCAGAATGGCCGTAAGTTTGACGCAATTCACCTGAGCGGATGTTAAGAATGAAATAAGCCTAACGCAAATGAAGAAACGAGCGACATGAATCATATACACTTGACAGCGATATTCCAAAGTGGCGAAGCTCGACTTTCAGCAATAACATGTCATTCAATATTGATACACCAGTCACGAATAGCCAAGCGTGGTTATTTCAATCGACCTAACTAGGTGTCCATTTCGTCGGACGGAGTTTACGTGCAAGAAGCGAAGCGATATATGGGACACTCGATTCAATAATGATTTCTATCCTTCCCGGACATGTCTCTCGAACTTCTCCGTTAAAATCACCTGTCGCGAAGATCGTCCTTGGCCTTTCGTTGAAAGCCGCAAAGCGATCTTCATTGTCCGACAGCCCGGTCTCTAATGATCCCGCACGTGTCGATATTAACCTAAATCGTCCGTGAATCATAAGCCTCATTCACGACCTCGTTCGTTACGAGCGCGGCGTTTAAACACCTACAACATCTGGGCTGCTAGACAAGGACACCGCGGGACAGCGTATCTAATTCATTATGCAACGAGAGAGGGAGAAAGAGAGAGAAAGAGAGAGAAAGAGAAAGAAAGAGAGAGAAACTCAACGTACACAGTTCTCTGTATGAAAGACGCGCGAATCTAAATATATCACGTGCGAGGATTATCGCCGAGTACGCATTCGCGTACTACTCGCGTATTATTCGCGAGGGTTCTCTCCTCCAACAAATACTGGAAATCCGTTAAATATGGAAATCCATTCCACTTGTAAAACAGAATCCACAAGAAAAAAGGCAAAAAATTGCCAAAATGGAAACTTCTATTCATATTTGATGTTAGTGGCACTTTTCCGATTATCCGTTACCAAACAATATTCCCGCTTGCTAACTTCAACTGTATTTGAATTATTCAAATCGTATCTCGGTGGCATTCATGTGTTCGAGCACGTCCATGTAATTCGCTTCCGATTGAAACGCACACATACATACACATACCACGATTATGCTCTTTACTCCCACTCACGGTTTCGCGTCTCTCTCTCTCTCTCTCTCTCTCTCTCTCTCTCTCTCTCTCTCTCTCTCTCTTTCTCTCTTTTTACCTCTTCTTTCCTCTCTTTCTGTCACGTAGCGCAATGCGCGTCGCAAGTGCGTGACAACCGCGCAAACACGTCGATCACCGTAACGGCGCGACCGACAAGAAAAGTAACGAGACATAAGAGCACCAAGTACCTCCTCGATCTCGTAGGTCTGCAGCAGATGAGTCGAGGCCATTAACCCCCTGATTGACCCCAGCATTCTCCTCTTAATCAGGCCACCTTTCCCACCGTGGTCCCTCGACGCTTCAGCATCGGTCGCCGTCATCGTCGTCGTCGCCCCGTCGTTCTCAGCGTCCGAGCAGAGCTTATCCATGCTGAAGGATACTGGCTGCGAATGCAGCCTCGTCCTGTTGTCCAAGATGTCGTCCGAGCTAGCTGTTTTCTGCCTCAGATTGCTGCGCAACTGTCGTGATCGATGCTGCGACACATCGGCACCATTCGTTGACACTTTGCCAGAGTCAGGCGACGCCGACGCCGGTCTCTCTATATCGGAGGCGTTCGCCTCTTCTGAGACCGACGACAGACCGAACTCCTCCACCCTGGTGATCGAGCCAGACTCTTGCGTGCGGGCCCGTGTCAGGTCGTAGAAGCCGCGTTGCTTGCTCTTGGTGGACACCCCGGAAGCGGCCTCGCTCCGCGTCTTTGAGCGAGAAATTCGCGATTGAAACATCCGTTGAGAATCGATCGGAAAATTCGTGCAAACGGGAAATCTCGTTCTGACTTCATATACTTTGATGTCACACGCGCATGCGCGCGCGTATAAGTCGCGAGAGATTCGCCTCACATTTGCCAACGAATTGTAATTTGAAATAATCGTGGATGATCGAGGAATCGAAGCTTGCTATTGGAAACCTACGTCGTGTCATTTAGCCCCGAGAGGTAGGCCCGATGCTACCTTGGCATTAGTTACGGTTAACGGCAAATTTCAGTCGACGTACGAAGGATTCGGAGTGAAAGCGGAGTGAAATTGTAGAAATGCGAAATCACATGAATATAATTTACAATTCCTAGGGTCCTTTACAAATGCATCGAAGTAGTAGCCTATGGCTTTTGCTAATTATAGTTTATTTCACATATAGAAAAATACGTATCTGCATGCAAGCAAATATTACTTGTTTCAAATATTTCATAAATTTATGTAGTCGCAAATCTATTATCTCATCATCAAATTTATTTAAAAAATGCTTTTCGAACTCTTGTAAGCTCAATATTTCAATAAAAAATATTAAATTAAGACAAAAATTCGTTTTGCTTACTACACAAAGTCAAAACAACTTTTTCTTCGATACAGTTTTATTCTTGTAAAGAGAATAAATTCTTCTTTTGAATATTTTCTAAATTTCTTGGAATAATACTTCACTCGAAACAACTGAAAAGTGAGATCACTTAAAATGATAGTAAAAATATTGCCACTCGAAACCACAAGAGTGAATGTTTCACCCAAGATTAGAGTTTTCTTCTTTTTTTTCTTTTTATTGATGTTAGCTAGAAACTCTCGTTGCCATTTATGGATATTATTCAAATTGAAGATTAGAGTGAATTCTAACTTCATGTGAGAGTGAATGTTTCAAACAATTGGAGTGAATATGTTTCTCTAGCGGTGGAATACATAAAATTCACTCTTCAATTTCCAGTGAAGATATCCGCTCAACAATTCACAGTGGAGAATTCACTCTATAGAAGTAAAAGTTAACTTGAATTCGAGTAACTTGACTGCTACTCCATTTTTCGAGTAAAATTCCACTCCAAGAAATTTCGAGAGTGCACGATAGACGCTTTTCTCAAATTTGGAGTGAATATATTTTAAGACGGTTACCAAGAAAATATTCTTTGTTGAAGATAACTATTACTTAAAAAAAGAAAACTAAACTGAATATATATATAATTGCTTTTCTTCGCAATGAAATGATACTTTCCTGTGTACACTCGTCCTCCGAAGCCTTCATACGAATAATATCCTGAATATCTCTCCAATTCCCTCTCTTTTCAACCTCCTTTCAATTTCACGATCTCTGGACTTATCTTTACTATTTGCAATCGATTCCCCGATCCATTTTCTCTATCTCAATTATAAATTAACACATCGAATGCCGCTAATCCTTCAAAAACTCCACAAAAAATTGCATGACCACTGATGACGATATAAATAAATACAATTTCCAGCGTACGCATTTCTTATCTCGCTTGATTAGCTCTCTAATGACCGTATGGTTGAACACGCGGTTAATTACGCCATGCGCGTAAGTTAAGGCGATACTTGCCGGTATCAGCAACACCGGTCAGTATCGATGACCACCGGTGGCATTCGACGTGTTAATCAACGTGTTGGTTTATTATTCGTTCCTTTTTTTCGTTGTTATTCCTCCCAGATTTTTTCCCTGTTCGCAAAAACGCAAAGTACAAGAGTGAATGTGCCCCGGCTACCTCGGCATTAAGCGCGCCGACCGCTTGCAACCTGGCGTGCCTGTTCACCACCTCGCCGAGTTTGGTCCTTTCCTCTCGCAACCAGTTGCGCATCCTGCCCCAGGCCTTGCCGAGTCGTCTCTTCTGCAGCTTGAGCCGCTTGCTGCGCTCCGAGCCGCCGCTCACCGACAACGCCGCCTCGTTCTGGCACTCCGGATCAGAGTATGAGCCAGACATCGACGCTATGCCGGCGTCGTAGCCGTCACTGTCGGACGCGCCGTAACTCCTTCTGCCCGACTTGAGCGACCTGGTCGACCGTTTCGTTTGGTCGTCTTGGTTTCTCTTAGACAGATCGAACGTTCTCCGAACTTCCTTATGGCCCTTTTCATGCGGGTCACAGTCTGACGTTGCCTCCTCTCGCGACACGTCTTGCTTCGCTGACTTCGGCACGTCGTAAAGATCCTGACGTACTATCGACGACGAGGGGGAATCATCTTCCGCTTTTTTATCGTCTTTTTGCTGCTCTAAAGAGACTCGATTATTGCCCGAGACTGCGTTCTTGGGAAGGTCGTACAGTTGATGAGCCGTGCAGTCGGTCTGGTCGCTCGTATCGACCTCCAAAATGACGACCTCCTCGTCATCGACGGCGTCCTGGTGAAATTGTTCGTTCGTGTGCAAAAAACTGAAGCTTATCGTCGGCACCCCGTCGCTGTCGGTCGTCACCGTCGTGGTGGCGTTCAGCTCCACCGTGGAACTGTGTCTCTTCCGGTTGTTCCGGTTGTCATTCGCGCGACAACTCTCCAGATTCGTCCCGAGTTGCGAGGACTCCGTGCAGACTTTGCTCAAGCTGTTTAACGCCGCCTCCACGTTGTTCTGATACAAGGCTTCGCCATTGTTGGAGGACCAAACTCCTCCGACACTCATGGCCTTCGCTAAGGGCTTGACTTTCCCGTCATTCTCGCGGCAGCGGGCTTCCATGTTTTCGTCGATGAATGTCACGTTCGTATTCTTCTCTGGAAAGGATGAAACAACTTCGAGCTCCTCGTTCCCTTTCTCGCGCTCTTTCGCGCCAAATTCCCCGCTACGTTCCGCGTCCTCGTGGAACTCGCGGCAGTGCACGATGATCGGCGCCGGGACGTCGTACCACGTTGTCGTCGCGACGCCCACGCTGTTGTTCAAAGTTGAGCTCTTCGTGGGAGACCTCAGAGCCGTCAGAACGTGCCTCACCTCGTTCATCTCCGTTCCGCGACGCTATATATAGATAGAGAGCGGGACTTCTCCGCATGGAATCGATACCTCGGATCTCTTCCCTTGATTTCGTTTCGTTCTCTCCCTCCTCGTTCCTATCGAGATACCGTTGCGAGAAACGCCACTAAGCCGCGATCGAGTCGTGGCGAGCAACGGTGAAGCAAAACGTGTCTCGAAAACGCGCGCAGCTGTTATCGCGAGCGGGAAGAGCGTCGCTTGTCGTCGCGGGGTTCATTTTCCTGTCCATCTGAGCGAAAAAGGGTTTCTCCTCGACATCGAATCAGAATGTTTTTGAATTTCTTTTTAGCGTCTTTGGTCGATCTTGGTCGTTCGTAGAGGAGGAACATTGATGGTCCTAATTGATCGCCGGCTCAGTCTTCAAGTAGACGTCGTCGCGAGACCGCGTCTCATTATCGAAGAATCCGAGATTCTTGCGAAGTTTCTACACTTCGTGTGCACCGGAGTTTCCTTTCATACGACGCGTAACAGTCCAATAACCATTTCAAGTCGCTCTTTCACGGCATTTTACTTTACGACGTGACTTTACGAGCGATGCGCGCACACGCGAAGTGTCGATGACGTCGCGCAAACGCTTTTCCTTATCGTGCACAAAGTTCCATGTCGCACGAATTTCTATTACGCACAACTATTATTTATTTTTATCTTACGTCTTTTCAGTTACAAACTGCGCAACACCGCGTTATCGCGAGGGCATCCGCATGATAAAACTGTGTCCTATGTCCCACAAATTTCGCTTATCGTACGGTTTAACAAATTGTTTTGTATCCCACGAGTTTCGCTTATCGCAGAGACGCTGACAACACTTGGAAACTTCTGACTCTTATGTACCACAAATTTTATCTGGATACAAGTACATTGCGCGATCCCCTACGTCCTGTACTACAAGAATTTCCAGATAAATTACCAATTTCTGAACACGTACCTAATTCTGACACATTCTTATTATTTTGGATTTTAAATACGAATATATAACCTTTCAATATAGAATATATGTGTATGTATGTATATGTGTATATATATGTATATATATATATGTGTGTGTGTTTTATTGAAAATTTAAATATTCATATTTGAAAATCTGAAACAGTAAAAATATCCAGGATTAGGTACTTATCGCGACGATATCGACGCGATACCTCAAAGTACCGCTGGATCCAAAGAAACCTGACTATACTTGAAAATTTCTGAATCCAATGTTCTACAATTTCACTTATGATATAAAAGCACTGCGCAATTTCCTACTTCTTCTTCAAAGTATGGCCTGAGTAATGTAACACTAGTCTAGTGATCCCATGCAATTTCCTACGTCCTATTTCGCGTGAATTTCACTTATCACACCGATATCGACGTTCGATACCTCGAACAATTCCTGCGAATTTAGCTCACAGCGAAGGCCACCGCAGTCTTCGAAAATCCTCCAACGAAATCCGTGAACACTTCTATTCTGCACTCACATTATCGACGCTGATCGTCGAGCTATTCGCGAGACTTCGCACCGCACGGCTCACCTCGAGGCACATGACGCGGTAATCGCGAAAAAGCATCGGATAGTTCGTGTTACGGTAATGACAACGCGACAATGACGTTTCACGGCGCCGCGTCGTTCTTTCTCTCTCTCTCTCCCCCTCCCCCCTCCTCCTTCCTCTCTCGCGAATCCAATGACACTCGCGGCGCGACGAAAGATAAAGAAAGCTACGTCGAGCAATAAATTTAGCGGGCGCGTCGCGTGGTACCTCTCTCTCGTCTCGCTTATCCTCTCCTCTGCTTCCCTTGGCTTCACCTTGGCTCTCGCCGAGTCGTCGACGAGCGTATACACGGTCTACGCGACTCACGTGGAAGCGCGCAACGGCGTCGCGAGCGATGGAATTCGAACGGTGTCGTCCGCTCGAAGATTGTAAGCACGCGCGAACGTGTCACTCGAGCACGACGAGCATAACGACCATGACGATGACGAGTACGGGACAGCGGATGGACAGCACGACGACGCGGACAACGGCGCGGTAGAATCGGGACGGATGAACCAACGGATGACGAGCAAACAAACAGACGAACAAACGAACAACGCGAACGGTCGCACCTTCCTCGACGGCCGATATTACGTAATTACGATTCGTGGTGCAGGAACGCCGGGCGTTGCAACGCGTTCGTTTTGCTCGAAATCACTCGGATCGTCGTATGATATTTTTTTCTTTTACTTTTCTTTCCTTTCCTTTCTTCCGTCTGCCCACCTGTCTTCCTTTATTCCTCATTACTTCACGCTCTCGTTGCACGAAGCGCATCACGCGCGTCTCGACGTCACGTCGCGCACTGAATAGCGCGCGCCGCGACCGCGAGACGAGCCTTCCGATGACGATCGGCCAGTTTCGCGTAACGAGCACAAAAAGTAGTCGCCACCTCGTAGCGACGACGGGGACGCGAATTCACGCTAACGTACTGAATTCGCGATTGTACTCGTCGACGGAAGTGCCGGTCGACGATTCGAACAGTCGCCAGCGAAACGTACGCAATGTGAGCATTCATTTATGCGCGTTCAAAATCAATTTCGTACATGTCAGACAATTTTCCGGATTTTGATAGTTCATTGTTTTAAGTTTACGAAGGTTTATATAGAAAATAATCATTTGAAAATTCATTTGAACTTTGACGGTACACATACCACAATGGATGTTAAAATATGAAATACGTTATTAAGCAACTGATAAATTGTGTGACTATGCAGTCGAAATTAATTTTGCCACGTCAAACAATTTTTCAAATTTTGACAGTTCACTGCTTTGAGTTTCTGAAGATCGATAAATAGATTATTTGAACTATGACACAGTATATATACCACAATTAAAGTCAAAACTATGAAACCTAGCACATATCACTAAACATCCGACAAAGAAATCGACTAGAAATTAAAAATAAATTAATTTTGTCACATCAAAGAATTTAAGAAATTCCGAATTTTGATAGTTCACTTCGAGTTTCCGAAAGTCCACACAGAAAATAAATTATTTCAATTGTGACGATACACATACCACAATTAAAGCCAAAGCTATACCTGACACACGTCACTAAACCAAATGAATCGACACGCAACAATATTACTCGATATTACGACCTAATTTCACGTGCATTACATTCAATAGTCAACTAGTACTTTTGAGGCTCCGATAACTTGATTGTTCGAGGACCATTTTTCGCACAGGTTCGTGTCCGACGGTCAATTGAATTTCGCGGGATCATCGCGCGTTCGATGTGTCTTATGTCGTTCGAGTATCGATAGCGTCGCGTCGTGAGCGATGGCTGAAACCGCGCGGTTTTTGCTACGCGTTCATGTCGGAGCGACGCTCCGCCGACGACTGCCGACATGGCTGGAAGCCGCATTATACAACCGCGGGCGAACAATTATGTGTCCGTATTACGGCGCGTATACACACATTGCACAACCGACGTCACATGCATCGCGCGTCGCGTCGCGTCGCCTCGCGTCGCGCCACACAGTGGCGATTTTGCAGCTGCAATGCCGCATTATCCGGAGATTCCTCGATCCAATCTCTCTAATTAGACGAAGATTGCGCGTCCCCACCTCCTTCGTACGATGCGCGATATTATTACTCGTTTCGGAACAAAGCCATTATCTCAAGAGATTGTTCTTCTTTGCACTTAACTTTCGCGGTCAGTAAGGCATCGGATTTTCTTGGCCGCCAATTTCTACGCTTTCGATATAATTCCCGGCTCTCATCTCTACGATAAATAGAAGAAGAGAGAGGAAAATAGAATTTGCGGATCTTGCAGAATGTGCGAATTATACACATTTATACACATTTATGTACAATTATACAGATTGGCCCCTTAGTTCCTTTCTACACACAGAAAAATATCACTTTACTGCTAAGAAAACCGATTATTCTCTTTTATTTTCCTTCTTTGAAGCTATCTTCAATAGAAGATATTTTCTTAATAATATTCTTAAAATATACTCATTACAAATTTTTGAGAAGCACACTTTGTCATGTATTAAAAAAGATAATTTATTTAAAAGAAAAAGATAAAAAAGATTTATTTAAAAGATTTATAAAAAAAACATTTATCCAAAAGAATGAATTTATTCTCTTTGCAAAAATATTATAAAACTTTGTAAAAAAAAAATGGTTCGACTTTATGTGCCAAACAAGCCGAATTTTTGCTTCAGTTTAATATTTTTGATTGAAATACTTAATTTACAAGAACCCGGTTTTGGGTAAACTTGATGCTTATAACAAACTTATGATAGATTTGTAAATACATAAACTTATAGAATACATGAAACGCATAACATTTACTTGAATGCAGTATATATTTTTCTATGTGTAGTATTTTGCAGAATATCCCCGATGTGACAGCGCATTTAATCCCCTCATAAAACTAAAATAGAATTTAAAATTCCTTCGCTTGGTATTCGCTTTACATTCCGCTCTGTAAAGGTGTGAAAATCGAGAATTCGCAGATCTGTGTTCTCACTGTCTCTAAAATAAGCAAAGTCATAACGAAAATAGAGACTTCACGGACCAACGTTGATTCCTCGCAAAGTTCTCTCTTTAATCTCTAAATAGCCGCGCGAGTTTGCCCATTTCAGCACTCGACAAACACTATTGTAAATAATACCACACGTTATATAAAAGTATAGAATATCTCAAAATACCTGTGTGTGTTATATAGATATGCGTAATATGCAGTATAAAAATTATGTATGATATAGTACAAGCCCGAGAAACATTGCTCGGTAAATTCCCAAGTAAATTCCGCTGTCTCTCACGCACAAGCTATTTGTCAGTTCGCACACGTCGATCAATTTCGATCACAGTTTCACCTCCCAGTACGACCGCCAAATGTCAAGGTATATCTCTATGATCCAGGTTCAGTGTCTTCGAGCGCACCAGTCGCGTGTCAAAATTCGACGTTAAAGTGCGCGACAACTATACGTCAGAAACGCCAAACGTTGACCTAGCTAACACACTTTTGCCCACGAGCAACGTATGGTATTCGTGTGCAATCACATTCAATAGCATACAGTGATATGTACAACGTAGTAGCCTTATTTCAATATCAAGAAATGAATCGGAGCGTTCACAAGTTTCTCCGCTACGTACTCTCCTCGCACAAAATATCAAACTTGCTAGCAATTTTAAACGGCCCGTCGAACACGCTCGCTCGCTCGCTTACGCGCACGCGGTAACAACCGAACACAATTGCAATTTGCTCAACGTGCACATACACATACACACACACACACACTCACACTGCCGTCTCCATCGGCGCACAGGTGCATAATCGGAGCGACGCGTGTAAACCGCGCATACGTGCGCGAGCGCTGCAGCCAAGTTACTGCAGTTGCAAGCCCGTGTCGTTGCGGGAATGAGTGCGGGAAATACGCGAAGTCCGGCAGCAGTCCGGGGCGCGGAGGGGGAGAGGACTGGCATGTGCACCGGTATAACCCCAAAACGAACGGCGAGCCAGTGGGTAGTTTTAAGGCGACTAACTGGTGTTTCTAGGCGGGGGATTATGCGCGCTTTTCTGTTCTCCGGATTATATTTAGCCGCCGCTCTTAGCCGGTATCTCTCGCTCCCTTTCGTACGCCCATTCGCGTCACATAACGAGAACCGCACGTGCGTCGTGCATGCACCGCCGGATTCTCGTGTACGATCGATGTACATGCACAGAGCTTCAATGAGGAAAAGAGAGAGGAAGAGAGAAAGAGAGGAAGAGAAAGCGAAAGAGGAAAACGAAAGCGGCGTGTCTCGCGATGCCCGCAGAAGAGATGCACCTGCATCTTCCTCTAAAAAAAAAGGATAGTTTAATCGAGTATAACATCCTTGGTTGAAATTTAATGTAATTTTCACGCTGTTGCTAAGCAGTTATGTTAAATATTCTCTAGTAACTACACTGAGAATTTATTTACGGGCTGTGAAGTTTATTCACAGAAAACTATATTTTGCACAGAAATAAATTTGATGTTCCAGAAATAAATTTTTAAATATTTTTTTCCAGTGTAAAGAGTTAAACTACTTGGAACCTCAATCAAGATGTATACACTTTTTTGTAATTATGAAAGATATACAAAATCTGAACCTATTTATTAAAAATATTTACAAAAATAGAGCAGAAATTGGATAAGAAATTATAATATTAATCGGTTAATAATCAAGTCTGCTGCTCATAGAGTGGGCAACTATGACGTTCTTACTCAGTTTCTACGCAACATTTATACGACTAATGGAAATGCATTGATACTGAACAATAACTGGACGCATATCTACGTAAACTGTACATTCTAAGAAAAAAATATTTCAAACAATATATATTTGTGGGATATAAAGTTTACTCACACAGAAATAAATCTTATTTCACAAAAAGAAACTTTATTTCACGGAAACAAACTTTATATTCCACAAATAAATTTTCAAATATTTTTCCTCGCTATACATTTCTACCAGGAATCGCACCGTCAATTTAATTGGGAATATATCGCATCGATAGCAAATATAAAAGTCAAAGTGAATATTTTTGGGATACATAAAATGTTTTTAGAATAACAGAACACATACACAGAACATGGAAATAATTGCGCTAAATTTTGATAATATGATGCTTAATTTATCTATATTCAGGAGCTTTATCGCGCAATATAAATAGCCAGAATAAGTCGGAACGATGAGTCGTTCAATGCTTTACGTTAAGCAAGCGCACATTATGCTATCGTCTAGAACACACAAGCATGTAACTTCACGATAAGAATCGAATGTCGCGACAGAAAGAACGAGGTAATACTTTATGAACGACCGACTCGACTGGCCGCGCGTTTGCACATACACGGATGGAAATTTTACAGAGTCTCAGACGAGATTTCTCGCGGTGAGCGCGCTCACGCCGCGACCTTGCTGCAGGTGTATGCGGTTGAAGGTGTAATTGCGTGAAAAGCGCGTTTGTACGTTCCCGCTGTTTTCCCAATACACCGACCGACGAGGCACGTGTTATCGCGTGGGAGTAACTAGCAGCGATAACGGTAGCGGAAATCCACATTACACACAGAAAAATATTATTCTACTGCTAAGAAAAACGATTATGCTGAGAAAAAATTCTTAAAAATTTATTTGTACGAGGTATGAAATTTATTCACAGAAATAAACTTTATACATACTTCACAAAAATAAGCTTTATATCCCATAAGGAGATGTTCAATTATTTTTTTCTCAGTGTATTCAGTTCATTTCCCTTCTTTAAAATACTGGCAATAATTTCCAAAGAAGAATATTTTCTTGATAACAATCTTAAAATATACTCATCACAAATTATAGGAAAGCCATACTCAAAAGAAGAATTTATTCTCTTTACAAGAATATTATAAAATTCTATCCAACAGAAAGAAGTTAGTTCGACTCTATGTAGCAAGCGAATCAAATTTTTGCTTTAAATTAATATTCCTAATAGAAATGCCAAACTTATTACAGTAAAAAATATTTTGCATTTGATATCTATCCATGGAAAAATTTGTATATTAAATTTCTGACATATCTTACTAATATATACTACATATATTAATTTGTACATATTGAAACATACTAATTTCTGTGTTAATTTAACATATTGTAGTTGTGTTATTTTATGACTGTTCTGCGTTCATATTGTATTTATCATTTTTAAATATTAAAATAACACATTAGTGTCGAAATGTTACACTTCTATGTTAATTTTTAGCATATTATTTGTATTATTACAGATTTGCAGATTTCCCTTTTGTTAAATTAACACACAAATTAAAGTAATTAAAGTAAGTTAGGATATGTAAAATTTGTTAAATTTAATACAAAATTTATTACAGTGCAGGATTCAAAATGTATTTTAAAGAAATCTCATGCTTGTGATAAACTTATGATAGATCTACGAATATATAAATTTATAAAATACTTGAAACAAGCAACATTTATTTGAATGCAGCATATTCTTCTATGCATAATCATCGTGTTTATTTCACGAATGTGAAGCGTTACGTTATCGTTGTAGAGGAATAGATGCAGAGTAATGGAACCTACGAAAGATCCCAGCGTTTTTCGAATAGAAAATATCTCTCTCATTGTCGACAATAAAAAATTAGCAATACGAAAAATGTAATATTACTCATAAGTTGGTCCTTATCGCGCTTTTAAACTTTCTTCTACATAAACGATTTTCCTAATCATAAGAAACACGTTCCCTATGTGCGTGTCGCTGGAAATCATACTGCGTATGCCAAACAGGCGACATGAAGCGGTCTGAAAAATGTAGCAGACAGCGTAATGACAAATTGCGCCCGAGAGGTGCCGAGAAAGCGGTGTTACAGGAAACGACGCTCGGTTGTCGGGACTAGGAAAATCACTTATGTGAAATTAATAGAGCAGCCACCTTTCGTAGACTCGTTAGCGCGGATGTCTCGATATTAAAGATATTAACATCATCTTATAATGAACTATCACGTATATTACTTAACGTATATTATTAAACTATCGCGTATATTAAAAACAAAAAATATAATTATAGCTAACGATTTCAACTATTCACGAGTGCCGTGTTCCTCGCGCTTAGTTTTAATCTCCGTCGTTAAGATTTCTTCTTGGTTACATCCGTATCGACTTAATGACGTCATCAACGAGAAATCGAACGAGGTTTTTTCTTGCACTATACGTCGAGATCAATTTTTTTATATACGTTATAAATACATACCGTTGCACCTCATGCGACGATATATAAAATATAATCAATGATTCTCTCTGTTCAACTTGAATTAAGAAAAATATGTAAATGTTAATAATTAATTACGAAGTCCATGATTTCTCATTAAAAACATAGAATAGGTGTGAGCTTATTAGTATAAACCAACAAAAAGATATATATATATATATATATATATATATATATATATATATATATATAAAGGAAATTTCCGATATCTTTTAACAATCTATCGGACGCAAATTAAATAGCACATACGAAAAATTAATTTATTTCAACGTATATCGCGAAAAAATTTACACAATCTCTCGTTTTTAGTATTATAATTTGCGCAGGCAGAATTGTATAGTAAAAATTATTATAAAATTTTGTAATCGAAAAATAGATCGACATTCTGTAGTAATTGACTATCCTTTTATTTCATATGTCCGTTTATTTCATATGCTATTTATGTTGCATTTATATTTGAATATTGAGTTTAAGAACTGAACTATTAAGTTTTAGACCATCGGAAAATCTAAATATAGGCGCAAGTCGTAATCGAAACTTTGTATATGATATATTCATAGACATAGTAAGAATAGATCGAGCGTGAGACACGAAACCTGAAGCTCAAGTAGAAAGAAGCAGAAGATAGATATATCTTTCTCTCTCATTCTTTCCTAGTTAGAGTGAGAAAGCTACACAGTACCTAACTTCTATCTTTTTCTGTATCTGTTTTCTATGTTTTTCTATCCGATCTTCATTGTCAAGTAGAGACACGCTCGGTCTATTCTTACTATGTCTATGAATATATCTATGATATAAAGTACAACTTTAAGTGATTTTCTTCAAAGATTCGAACACTTTAAACCCCGGCGGTCTAAAGGTTAAAAAATTTGCTATGTTTCTAACAAAATTTATTATTATTTATTATTATTTATTATTATGTTCCTTAATAAAATAGACCTTATTAGTAAAATTGACCTTACTGACAGTCTATCCTCGCACTACTAAAAACAGTAAAATTGGGAAGAGGATTCATATGAAGAAAAAAGAACTATAATATTCTCTTCGTGTATACTGGAAATCTCTTACAAACGATCACTTCCCGCATTTGCAGCTTTTTCAGATACTTATTTATAGAAATTATGTAAATTAATCTTTATTGTGTAATATAGATATGATCACCATTATTGATACTCACGTCTTATAGTGTACGTATAATGACTATAATTACACAAAAGAGGAAGATTTATTTTGAGTTAACTCTCATTTTTTCTTGCTGATAAAGCAGCACTCAGAATTGCAACAAGTCGGAAATAATGGTAATAACAGTATGTCGCGAAACATGACTCCTGTACCTGACAATAACGAGAAGTTATTTTACTTAAGAGATTACAGCACGGACTTAAGAAGAAAAAAACAATAGCAGCACTATTTACCATTGGTTTCGCGAATATTATTCGCCCTTTGATTAGGAAATTATACCAAAAAACGAAAAAAAGCGATTTCTTCATTATTCATCA